AAACAACTGCGAGTCATGTCAGTTGAATAAAGTCGACAATAAACTGGAGAAAGGAATGCTGCAGCCTATCGATGCCAATGAACCATTTGAAATTGTCGGAGTAGACATACTTGGGCCTCTCTCTCCGACGTCAAAAGGCAGTAAATACATTATAATAATGATTGACTTATTTACAAAATGGATGGAGACAAAGGCAGTGAGGAATGTACAAGCCATTACTATAGCGAAATGGTTTGTTGATGAAGTTCTGGCAAGACACGGCGCCATTAAAAAAGTGTTAACAGATAATGCCAGATACTTTATATCAGACTTTATGGAAGAAGTCTTTAAGTTGACAGCCTCCAAACATGTGAAAACCACACCATATAGTCCACAATCGAATGGAACTGCAGAAAAAGCATGCGGGACTGTAGCTATGATGCTTAAAAATTATGTTCAAGATAATGTTACCAATTGGGACCAGTACTTACCCAAAGTAACATTCTCGTATAACGTTAGTAATCATAAAGCTACCAAAGTTTCTCCTTTTTTCTTACTATATGGAAGAGAACCAAAAGTACCAATTGACATATCTTATGATCTACCGCGTGACTTTGCATTTGGTACTAATTATTTAAAATATATGGAGGAGACAAGAAGATTGGTTCAAATGAGAATTATAGAGGCTCATAATGATGGTAAATTCCGTTATGATGCTAAACATCGCGATGTAGTATTTGAGGAGGGTGACTTGGTGTCACTACATATTCCTCACAGAGAGATTGGTCTTAGTACAAAATTATTAAGCCAATATATTGGCCCTTATAAGATAATTACGCGGCACAGTCCACTTGTATACACTGTTCAAAGTGTACATAATCCAAGGAAAAAGTTTAAGAAAGTACATATAAGACGATTAAGAAAATGGAACAATGAAATAATTCCTGAATTGGACAGTATTGATGAAGTAGATAGTAACAATGCTAAACATATTACTACACTAAATGACAATGAAAATCAACTGGACGATGAAATTGATAACACGGAACAACAAACAAAGCACAATAATGATCAGAAAACGGACAACGATTAAAATTTATTATAATGCATTATTGGTATTTTATAGATTTAAGTTTACATAATGCATGCATTTTTTAAGGTGAAGGGATTTTATAGTAATATTTTATAAATAGAAAATTTGTAAACTAATGTGTACATGAGTTATTAGTGTTACACATCTGAGGACAGATGAAGACTTGAAGGGGCGGAAATGCAATAGTGGGTCAAATCAGCAAAATATTTAACTATTAAATAAGTTTTGTTTTTATTTAAATAATTAAAAAACATAATTATTACATAAGCTAAATTATTGAAAACTTTCCCTATAATAAACAAATGCTTATATACACTAATATTTCTACATTAAATAATTTTATATTGAAGTCAAGGATAACATACATAATTAAAATATATTGTAAGGGTATATTATTTGTTTTACTCCGAAAAAGTATTTCAAAAATTATTCTTATTTTTATTTGTTAAAAATTTATAACAGCACTAAAATGTTATACAGAAAACCTAAAGGTAAACACCTTGTTTTTAAGGAAATTTTATTCAATATTTTAGTGTTAAAATAATGCACTAAAATGTTATAGAAAAAATTAAATAGTAAACTCCCAGTTTTAATAGTGATTAAAACCTGACTCAATGTGACACACTTTTTATGAACGTACACTTTAGTATAAATAGAGGTGTCTCTCAAACACCAAAATCAGTTCTCCACTTGGAGTCATACTACGTGTATTGCTTTAGAGTGAATTAATAAAAGTATTTGCATATTACTTTGTGTGTGTTTACTTTCTCGACGCGGACCAATCGTTGGACATCTTAAGGGACGCCTTCAGAATACATCCATAACCACGCGGACGTTAAACAACTATTACGTAAGTAAATATTTTTATTATGAGAACTCCGGCACCGTACCGTATACGGGGGCATCTCACACCCGAACTCTTATTGGAACCTACGGGTGAACCTACGGGTGAACCTACGGGTGAACCTACGGGTGAACCTACGGGTGAACCTACGGGTGAACCTACGGGTGAACCTACGGGTGAACCTACGGGTGAACCTACGGGTGAACCTACGGGTGAACCTACGGGTGAACCTACGGGTGAACCTACGGGTGAACCTACGGGTGAACCTACGGGTGAACCTACGGGTGAACCTACGGGTGAACCTACGGGTGAACCTACGGGTGAACCTACAGGTGAACCTACGGGTGAACCTACGGGTGAACCTACAGGTGAACCTACAGGTGAACCTACGGGTGAACCTACGAGAGTACCTGCAGGTGAACCTACGAGAGTACCTACAGGTGAACCTACGAGAGTACCTACAGGTGAACCTACGAGAGTACCTACAGGTGAACCTACGAGAGTACCTACAGGTGAACCTACGAGAGTACCTACAGGTGAACCTACGAGAGTACCTACAGGTGAACCTACGAGAGTACCTACAGGTGAACCTACGAGAGTACCTACAGGTGAACCTACGAGAGTACCTACAGGTGAACCTACGAGAGTACCTACAGGTGAACCTACGAGAGTACCTACAGGTGAACCTACGAGAGTACCTACAGGTGAACCTACGAGAGTACCTACAGATGAACCTACGAGAGAACCTAAACTAACGACATGACAGAGACACTGAGGTATGCAATATTTTAGGATAACATACCTATAAGATAACCTACCTATATTGTAATCTGATTATAAGGAACCTACTCATATAGTAAACTATCTATAATGTAACCTGCTTATATGGTAACCTATCTATAAGGTAATCTAACTGCACGGTAACCTATCTATAGTTGTCTGCCGATATGGTAGTCCATCTATAAGATAACCTACCTGTATGTTTACCTACCTATAAGATAACCTACCTATACGGCAACCTACATATATGATAACCTACTTATGGGTTAACTCCTATAAAGCAACCTACGTATATGGTAATCCATCTATAAGGTATCCTATCCTGAAGGTAATTGCATACCCGATGACATGTCCGTTGTCAACTACAAACATGAACACGGTTACTCCCGTATAGTAGGAGTTACCCGACTATGTCGGGGAACAAGGGGATCCGCTCGCCCCTTAAGCCACACACCACGAAACCGACCGGGTTGAGAGCCCAACCGTAAGGGCCGGTGGTATATTACCGAGTTTTGGTTTACATAAGTTAGTTTAGCTTAGTCCTAAATGTCAGTAATACCCCACTTCCCCCACTTAACAATCTTTAATTTTATKATAAAATACTTATTTATATTTATTTATTTACTATCATTGAATGTATTATTAATTTGATTATTATTTATTTCGTACATTTAGGTTAGTGCTAACCTTAAATGTACTAAATATTTAATCAATTTATATTATTTTTATTAAAATATAATTGCTAAACATTTACCAATATTGATTAGTCATTATTATATAGTCATTTAATGTTATAATTTTTATTRTTWAATATAATAGTAAATTATTAATTATTAATACAATAGAAATTAATTTTAAACAACAAATATTATAATATTTATAAGAAATATGTTTAAAAATAATTAGTAATACACTGTAAATTCATAATAAATATATTTTTYATTATAATTATTAGATAATTATTAATAGATAATACATGTATATATATATAATATAAAGTATAGTAKTTTATTTTTCATACAATTAGTTTATTGTTTTAAATTTAATAGATTATGACCTATGTTAATTAAAAATTATTTAYTAGTTGCTTAGTTAATTATAGCAAGTACATTTTATTAATAAGGAATATATTTTTTWWAAATTTGTTGATTACTATAATTATTTTTTTAGTATTAATTAAGTTTATTGAAAAGCAAAAATAATAATTAATAAATCATATTACTTATCACTGTTATCGTGATTTTAAATTTTTTTAAACACGTGTATAAACGAAAGCAAAATAATCAAGATAACACTTTAAGATAATAGTCTCCGTCTGTATGTATGTGTGCACATTTCATCAACAACCATATTTTAATTCAACTCTAAAAATGTATTGTTATATTTTCAATTTTAATTTAAAGCAATGTTATTTGTATGGGAAATTTTAAATGATTATTGAGCTTAGGTAGGTTTTAGGGACAGGTAGGCAGGTGCTGTGTTATTAGATTTTGCTATATTATATGAGTCATAGAGCACCGGGAGGTTAGCTACCTGTGCTAAATTTTTGTAAAATTTTCTCAAATGCAAAAATTTTCAAATTGAATTAAAATTTTCAATTTATATTTAAAGCAATGTTATTTCTATGGTAAATTTTAAATGACTATTGAGCTCAGGTAGCTTTTAGGCTCAGGTAGGCTGATTTTCTATAATTACATTTTGCTATATTATATGAATCACAGAGCACCGGGAGGTTAGATACCTGTGCTAAATTTATGTAAAATTTTCTCAAATGCTAAAATTTTCAATTTGTTTTAAAATTTTCAATTTTTATTTAAAGCAATGTTATTTCTATGGGAAATTTTAAATGTTTTTTGAGCTAATGGAGGTTTTAAGGACAGGTAGGCAGGTGTTGTGTAATTCCATTTTGCTATATTTTATGACTCACATGGCACCGGGAGATTAGCTACCTGTGCTAACTTTTTGTAAAATTTTTTCGCAAAAAAAATAAATTTTCAATTTTTATTAAAATTATTTAAATATATTTAAAAATCTAAAATTTTTTAAGTTTAGAGGAATTAATGTGTATTGGTTAATATTTTGATGTATATAACATATTAGGCACCCATTCAAATTACTAATGATGAATATTTTAAATCAGTAAAAGAATTGCATAGCTATACATGTTGCGCGGGACATTCTAGTTAGTATTATAAAAAAACTTGCGCGTGAAATAATTAACTTAATAAAACATTTCATAAATGATAATCAAATTTTATATATTTTWATAGAAAAAATGTTTTTATTATAAATTCAATTTTTAAAAATTTTATATTAGTGTCCAAAGGGTATAGATTTGAGAAATCTGATGACCATATCCTGTGTAGCCCTGGGCTGATCTAATGGTGAAACGTGACCGGCATTACGTACGATAATGTGAGTAAAATTACCGAAACTTTTTGCATAACCGGCTATTTGTGTGTCGTTTSTATTGACTCTCCAAATGTCTCGTTTGGCTCTATTGTAATCGTTATAATATTTCCAATCTATTAAATACATAATATTTWTTTTGAAAATTTTGTTACAATTAATTTTATATTAATTAAACTATAATTACTTTTATTCATCAGTAATCCATTGGTAGACTCGACGCCAACCAGAATATCAAAATTTCCGGTAAATAACAATACTTTTAATCCGTTATCAATAATTGCCGTCAGATTTGGTTCAGCCGATCGGCTCATGTCTTCATACATGTATTGAAAGACTTCATGACTCGACATATTATAGACAACATTACCGACATGTATAGCACTGCGAACCGACGGTTGTCCTAAATAATGGTCGACATAACTCAGTGACTGTATTAGGTCACCGCCCGACTCATGCATATTGTAAAACAGTCTAAAACCAGTTGTGTTGCTTAGATAGCAGATTCGTGACAACACTAAAAAAATAGTTATAATATTTTTAAATGTATTAGTTTTTTATATTAATAAAAAATAATTAAAATTTAAAGTATTTCATTACATACCTAACATTTCCATCAATTCCGATGCTTTGCGATAATCTYTGGATTTTGCAAAACCTTTAATCCGATTTTGAATGTTTTGCACTTCTTTGGCTTCATTTTCATCTATTAATCCCAAACTCAATAGTGTCTTATCGTATGTCAGTTGAGTGATTGGATCAGTCAAACCATTGCCAATGAGTATACCTTTGAAATTCAATTTAGAAATTTGTGACATTTTTATTAAGTAGTGACCAAATGATGGCACATATTTTCCCGCATAAGACAATCCGCCTAAATATAAATCATTGCTTCGGTAGTCATCAAAAACAATGTAAAACTGTTGTAGAAATTCGTATAAATTTTTAGTGATAGTCAACTGATCTGTTGAATAGCCATTGGGATTATCGGTATAACTAAATCCWGTTCCCACKGGATTATCCACATATATAATTGAAAACTCTTGATTAAATGCAAATGGATTTATTGTTACATTTAATTTATTGTCTATATTGAATGATCCAAACTTAAACATTGTCATTATTGATGAGGTWCCCGGTCCACCCTCAGTATATACTAATACCGGTGCAGTTTTGGGATTTTTCTTTATTAAATATAAAAAATAATTTAGTATTTAAAAACTTAAAAAGATAATTAAATATCAATAACTTAATATCGAAAATGAGTTATTATTAAATACTTACAAAAGCGGGTATAAACCAGAAAAACGTATTACTATTGTATTTCTCGTCGACGGTTATAAACCCAGTATATGACTCAACATTGGGTGCATTGGGCAGTGCTGTCACCCGACTCAGTGATCGGGCCTTTGCTATGTCACCCGATTTGATATATGGTGTCAATAATAACTGTTTTTCACAATATAGTGTAGAAACATATATATAAAATAGTAATACAGTATAGATATTTGCTAAATTCATTTTATTTATAATAATCTGATAATACAGTATAATTATATTTAATTGTTTTACTCAATTTATTTATATGATACTATTAATTATTAAAAAAATAAACTTTCACTTTATTTTATACTCTATTTATTTTCATTATTTTTATTAGTTGTTATAGTTATCATAAAAAGATAAAAAATTGTTTTAGATATAAAGTTATGAATTTCATATATTTATATATACTTATTGTAATAATCCTAAATCATAGATATATTGCTATTCAATGATAATACTGTAAATAATTGATTATTTAAAATAAGATTAATTAGTACATTGTTTTCAGTCTAGCTAATTACTAATTTAACGTTATTAAATACACTATATATGTCCTAAAGTTTTAAATTACAGCTTTATTATAAAGTATTTAAAAAATCTAATAATATGTTAACTAAGTACTTATATTATTGATTGTTTTATCTTAGATAAATTGCTAATTTCCAGTTATACAATATAATTTTTTGAATAAATTAATACATGGTTAAATTTGAAAATATATCTAATTATATCGTTTTTCATCCTCATTAATTTTTTAAATATCTTTGAAGCTAATTATCAAATTTTAATAAAATTCATAGATTAATCACTTAAGATATTACATCATAAAACAACATAGGTTTTGCATTTATAGTATTTATATAATAAACTTATAGTTTAAAACTTTCGGACATTACGATATAAGTACTAGAAGTATTAGAAACTTTTTTCACTGTTTATCAAACTTGTAATACATAAGGATATTTATTGCATAGTTATTATTAAATATTTTTTTAGATATTTATTATAAATTATTGTCTATAATGTTTTATTTAAAATTAACTTTTTTTAATATTAAGTTTTAATTATTTTTATTTTATTAAAGTAGTATTTGACAATATTATTTAAATGTTCAAACATTAGTCAAGAATTAAATGTTTGTTACAAAAATTTTATAAAACATTATTAAATTAAAACAAATAAAAAGTTTATAATAATAATGTACAGTAATTGTAACATATAATAGTCTATTAATAAAAGTAATTGTGATTTATAATATTTAATTCATATTATGTATAATAGATAATCAAAACATACTAATTATTAGTCCATAATAAACAAACTTAATAATAAGACATCTAAAAAAATAATAGTTATTGTGTTTTATTATGATTTTGTATTAAAATTATTTATTTGCATATTTTTATTATGTAATAATTTAATTTTAATAATTAATTAATTATATTATATATTACAAGTTATTGTCCAAAAGATATAGATTTAAGAAATCTGATGGCCATATCCAGTGTAGCCCTGGGCTGGTCTAACAGTGAAACGTGACCGGCATTACGTACGATAACGTGAGTAAAATTACCGAAACTTTTTGCATAACCGGCTATTTGTGTGTCGTTTTTATTGACTCTCCAAATGTCTCGTTTGGCTTTATTGTAATCGTTATAATATTTCCAATCTATTTAAATACAATAATTATTGTTAATGTAAAATACATTGTAATTAGTTTTTTTTAAACAAATTATAATTACTTTGATTCATCAGTAATCCATTGGTAGACTCGACGCCACAAATAATATCAAAATTACCGGTAAATAACAATACTTTGTATCCGTTGTCTATGATTGCCGTCAGATTTGGTTCAGCCGATCGGCTAATGTCTTCAAACATGTACTGAGCGACCACTTGACTCGTCATATTATAGACAACATTACCGACATGTATAGCACTGCGAACAGTCGGTTGTGTAACATATTGGTCGACATATTTAATTGACTCTAATTTGTTACCACTATTATCAATATCGTGAAACCCTAGATAACCAGTTATGTTGGTTAGATAACCGGTAGTAACTATTAAAAAACAAAATAGTAATATGAATATTTATGTTAGTTAAAGCAATATTTCAGATACAGTAACTAATATATTAATAATAATGATAAAAATAATAATCTACACATAATATAAAATATGTCTATTAATATAAGAATAATTTAGATATTTAAAAAATATATTAGTTATATATATATATTAAAAAATAATAATAAATTAAATTTAAATTAATTTCATTACTAACATAGCTTTAGAAACACTTCCGTTGCTTTGCGATAGTCTTTGGATTTTACAAAACCTTTAAAACTATTTTGAATATTTTGCATATCTTTGGCTTCATTTTCATCTATTAATCCCAAATTCAATAGTGTCTTATCGTATGTCAGTTGATTGATTGGATCAGTCAAACCATTGCCAATGAGTATACCTTTGAAATTAACTTAGAAATGTGTGACATTTTTATTAAGTAGTGACCAAATGATGGCACAAATTTTCCCGCATATATAAAATATTATACATTAATCCTCAAGTAATCAATTAATAACTTAAATAATAGTTTTTTTTATATATAGTTGATTATCTATAAAATATAATGTTGAATAGTTATTACAAATTTATCTTTTTAAGTGCAAAAAGTATTTGTCAAACTTTTTTTTATTGATAAAAATAATAAGACTTATTGTTAGTATAGTATAAATATTTATTATTAATAATCATTGATAAGGATATTATTGTATTTCTCTTTGATATTTAAAAGCAGCACAAATAAGATGAATAATTGGACTAAAAATATTTTCAATACAATATATAAAAATTAATTTTAATAGTCTCTAAAATTTTTGTTGAATACTGTTGAATTTTTTTTAAATTTTTTAAATTTTTAATATTCTCTATTAAAATATAGATTTAAAAAAATTAGTTTAAATTTAGATTTATGATAATTTTTTTCAAGATATATATATAATAATATTGTTAATTGAAATTATTAAAATTTTTATGTACTGTATATTCATATATAGAGTTTTATAAAATTTTTAAACATCAATTTTAAAAAATTACTATAAATATGTAAAAACATTAAATTAAATGATTGATTGTTAAACTAAAATTATACATGTTTTTATTTTATAGATTATAAATTAGTGTCCAAACGATACTATTGCAAAGTTATTATTAAGTATCAATGTTTATAATGTTATTATGTATAATATTTAAATCATTTTATGTAATACATAATATATATATAATAGATAATCAAAACATACTAATTATTAGTCCATAATAAACAAACTTAATAATAAGACATCTAAAAAAATAATAGTTAGTTTGTTAATCATTTTGTATTAAAATTATTTATTTGCTTATTTATATGTAAAAAATTAAAAAAAATAATTTTCTATATTTTAAAAATAAAATTAATATTTTTAATTATTTATATTATAGATTAGAAGTTAGTGTCCAAACGGCAGAGATTTTACAAATCTGATGGCCATATCCTGTGTAGCCCTGGGCTGATCAAACAGTGATGCGTGACCGGCATTACGTACGATAACATGAGTAAAATTACCGAAACTTTTTGCATAACCGGCTATTTGTGTATCGTTTGTATTGACTCTCCAAATGTCTCGTTTGGCTTTATTGTAATTATTATAATATTTCCAATCTATTTAACAAACAATAATTATTGTTAATGTAAAATACAGTTTAATTAWTTTATTTTTWAAAACAAATTATAATTACTTTGATTCATCAGTAATCCATTGATAGACTCGACGCCAACCATAATATCAAAATTACCGGTAAATAACAATACTTTGTATCCGTTATCAATAATTGCCGTCAGATTTGGTTCAGCCGATCGGCTAAAGTCTTCAAACATGTATTCAAAAACTACTTGACTCGTCATATTAWAGACAACATTACCGACATGTATAGCACTGCGAACCGWCGGTTGTGTAACATATTGGTCGACACATATACTTGACTCTAATTTGTTACCACTATTATCAATATCRTAAAAACCCWGATAACCAGTTATGTTGGTTAGATAACTGGCACTAACTAAAAATAAAACAAAATAAAATATAATAATATTTATGTTAGTTAAAGCAATTTTMAAATACAGTAACTAWTGATWTTAATAATAATTAYAATAATATAAATTTGTCTATTAATATAATTATAATTTAGATATTTTTTTAAATATATTATTTAGATATTTWTAWATATATTTAAAAATAATAAAATTAATTAAATTTAATTACGAATTAGTTTAGAAACACTTCCGTTGCTTTGCGATAATCTTTGGATTTTGCAAAACCTTTAAAACTWTTTTGAATATTTTGCACATTCTTTGGCTTCATTTTCATCTATTAATCCCAAATTCAATAATRTCTTATCGTATGTCAGTTGATTGATTGGATCAGTCAAACCATTGCCAATGAGTATACCTTTGAAATTGATTTTAGAAATTTGTGACATTTTTATTAAGTAATGACCAAATGATGGCACATATTTTCCCGCATAAGACAGTCCGCCTAAATATAAATCATTGCTCCGGTAGTCATCAAATACAGTGTAAAACTGTTGTAGAAATTCGTATAAATTTTTAGCGATAGTCAACTGATCGGTTGAATAGCCATTGGGATTATCGGTATAACTAAATCCAGTTCCCACGGGATTATCCACATATATAATTGAAAACTCTTGATTCAATGTATAGGGATTTATTGTKACATTTAATTTATCATTTATATTAAAAGTTCCGAACATAAACATTGACATTATTGATGAACCTCCCGGTCCACCCTCAGTATATACTAATACCGGTGCAGTTTTGGGATTTTTCTTTATTAAATTAAAAATAAATAAATAATTATTTTTACAAATAATTTTAAACATTAATAACTTACAAAAGCGGGTATAAACCAGAAAAACGTATTACTATTGTATTTTTCGTCGACGGTTATAAACCCAGTATATGACTCAACATTGGGTGCATTGGGCAGTGCTGTCACCCGACTCAGTGATCGGGCCTTTGCTATGTCACCCGATTTGATATATGGTGTCAATAATAACTGTTTTTCACAATATAGTTTAGAAACATATATAGAAAATAGTAATACAGTATAGATATTTACTAAATTCATTTTATTTATAATAATCAGATAATACAGTATAATAATATTTAATTGTATGATATTTATTATATGATATAAAAAACTAAACTTTCACTTTATTTTATACTCTATTGATTTTCATAATTTTCATTAGTTGTTGTAGTTATCATTAGATAAAAAATTGTTTTAGATATAAAGTTATGAATTTCATATATTTATAGACACTTATTGTAATAATCCTAACTCATAGATTGAAATATATTGCTATTCAATGATAATACTGTAAATAATTGATTATTTAAAATAAGATTAATAAGTTCATTGTTTTCAGTATAGCTAATTACTAATATACCGTTATTAAATACACTATATATGGTTATGTCCGAAAGTTTTAAACTACAGCTTTATTATAAAGAATTTAAAAAATCTAATAATTTGCTAACTAATTTCAATCATCTATATTATACTTGTATTATTGATTTTTTATCTTAGATAAATTGCTAATTTCCAGTTATATAATATAAATTTTAAATAAATTAAAACATAGTTAATTTTGAAAATATAATATATCTAATTATACCGTTTTCAATCTTTTCAATTTTTAATATCTTTGAAGCTAATTATCAAATTTTAATAAAATTCATAGGTTAATCACTTACATAGATATTACATCATAAAACAACACAGGTTTTACCTTGATAGTATTTATAATAAACTTATAGCTTAAAACTTTAGGATATTACGTTATAAGTACTAGAAGTTAACGTCAAACTTTTTTCACTGTTTATCAAACTTGTATTACATAAGGATATGTATTGCATAGTTATTATTAAATTTATCAAAAATAATTTTTTAGATATTTATTATAAATTATTGTCTTATAATTTTTATATAATGTTTTATTTAAAATTAACTTTTTCTAATATTAAGTTTTAATTATTTTTAGTTTATTAAATTAGTATTAATATTAATAAACAAAATTTGAATATTAGTTAAATGTTCAAACATTAGTCAAGAATTAAATGTTTGTTAAAAAATTTTTATAAAACATTATTAAAAAATTAAAACAAATAAAAAGTTTATAATAATAATGTACAATAATTGTAACATATAACAGTCTATTAATAAAAGTAATTGTGATTTATAATATTTAATTCATATTATGTATAATAGATAATCAAATCATACTAATTATTAGTCCATAATAAACAAACTTAATAATAAGACATCTAAAAAAATAATAGTTATTGTGTTTTATTATGATTTTGTATTAAAATTATTTATTTGCATATTTTTATTATGTAATAATTTAATTTTAATAATTAATTATTTATATTATAAATTAGAAGTTAGTGTCCAAACGGCAGAGATTTGACAAATCTGATGGCCATATCTAGTGTAGACCTGGGCTGGTCTGCCAGTGAAACGTGACCGGCATTACGTACGATAACGTGAGTAAAATTACCGAAACTTTTTGCATAACCGGCTATTTGTGTATCGTTTGTATTGACTCTCCAAATGTCTCGTTTGGCTCTATTGTAATCGTTATAATATTTCCAATCTATTTAAATACAATAATTATTGTTAATTTAAAAAATAGTATAATTATTTTTTTTTGTTTAAAAACAAACTATAATTACTTTTATTCATTAGTAATCCATTGGTAGACTCGACGCCGCAAATAATATCAAAATTTCCGGTAAATAACAATACTTTGGATCCGTTGTCAATGATTGCCGTCAGATTTGGTTCAGCCGATCGGCTAAAGTCTTCAAACATGTATTCAAAAACTACTTGACTCGTCATATTATAGACAACATTACCGACATGTATAGCACTGCGAACCGACGGTTGTGTAACATATTGGTCGACATATTTCAATGACTCTAATTTGTTACCACTATTATCAATATCGTGAAAACCCAGATAACCAGTTATGTTGGTTAGATAACCGGTAGTAACTATAAAAAACAAAATAATAATAATAATGTTTATGTTAGTTAAAGCAATTTTCAGATACAGTAACTAATGATATTAATAATAATGATAACGATAATAATCTACACATAATATAAAATTGTCTATTAATATAAGAATAATTTAGATATTTAAAAAATATATTAGTTATATATATATATTAAAAATAATTTAAATTAAATTAAAATTAATTTGATTACTAACATAGCTTTAGAAACACTTCCGTTGCTTTGCGATAATCTTTGGATTTTGCAAAACCTTTAAAATTATTTTGAATATTTTGCATTTCTTTGTCTTCATTTTCATCTATTAATCCCAAATTCAATAGTGTCTTATCGTATGTCAGTTGATTGATTGGATCAGTCAAACCATTGCCAATGAGTATACCTTTGAAATTAACTTTAGAAATGTGTGACATTTTTATTAAGTAGTGACCAAATGATGGCACAAATTTTCCCGCATATATAAAATTTTATACATTAATCCTCAAGTAATCAATTAATAACTTAAATAACTAGTTTTTTTTATATATAGTTGATTACTATAAAATTTTGTTGAATAGTTATTACAAACTTTTTAAGTGCAAAAAGTATTTGTCAAACTTTTTTTTCATTGATAAAAAAATCGGACTTATTGTTAGTATAGTATAAATATTTATTATTAATAATCATTGATAAGGATTTAACTTTCTTTGATATTTAAAAGCAGCACAAATAAGATGAATAATTGGACTAAAAATATTTTCAATACAATATATAAAAATTAATTTTAATAGTCTCTAAAATTTTTGTTGAATACTGTTGAATTTTTTTAAATTTTTTAAATTTTTAATATTCTCTATTAAAATATAGATTTAAAAAAATTAGTTTAAATTTAGATTTATGATAATTTTTTTAAGAATAAGTTAATTGAAATTATTAAAATTTTTATGTACTGTATATTCATATATAGAGTTTTATAAAATTTTTAAACATCAATTTTAAAAAATTACTATAAATATGTAAAAACATTAAATTAAATGATTGATTGTTAAACTAAAATTATACATGTTTTTATTTTATAGATTATAAATTAGTGTCCAAACGATACTATTGCAAAGTTATTATTAAGTATCAATGTTTATAATGTTATTATGTATAATATTTAAATCATTTTATGTAATACATAATATATATATAATAGATAATCATATAATAATCATATAATAACATATTGGTCGACATATTTCAATGACTCTAATTTGTTACCACTATTATCAATATCGTGAAAACCCAGATAACCAGTTATGTTGGTTAGATAACCGGTAGTAACTATAAAAAACAAAATAATAATAATAATGTTTATGTTAGTTAAAGCAATTTTCAGATACAGTAACTAATGATATTAATAATAATGATAACGATAATAATCTACACATAATATAAAATTGTCTATTAATATAAGAATAATTTAGATATTTAAAAAATATATTAGTTATATATATATATTAAAAATAATTTAAATTAAATTAAAATTAATTTGATTACTAACATAGCTTTAGAAACACTTCCGTTGCTTTGCGATAATCTTTGGATTTTGCAAAACCTTTAAAATTATTTTGAATATTTTGCATTTCTTTGTCTTCATTTTCATCTATTAATCCCAAATTCAATAGTGTCTTATCGTATGTCAGTTGATTGATTGGATCAGTCAAACCATTGCCAATGAGTATACCTTTGAAATTAACTCTAGAAATGTGTGACATTTTTATTAAGTAGTGACCAAATGATGGCACAAATTTTCCCGCATATATAAAATTTTATACATTAATCCTCAAGTAATCAATTAATAACTTAAATAACTAGTTTTTTTTATATATAGTTGATTACTATAAAATTTTGTTGAATAGTTATTACAAACTTTTTAAGTGCAAAAAGTATTTGTCAAACTTTTTTTTCATTGATAAAAAAATCGGACTTATTGTTAGTATAGTATAAATATTTATTATTAATAATCATTGATAAGGATTTAACTTTCTTTGATATTTAAAAGCAGCACAAATAAGATGAATAATTGGACTAAAAATATTTTCAATACAATATATAAAAATTAATTTTAATAGTCTCTAAAATTTTTGTTGAATACTGTTGAATTTTTTTAAATTTTTTAAATTTTTAATATTCTCTATTAAAATATAGATTTAAAAAAATTAGTTTAAATTTAGATTTATGATAATTTTTTTTAAGAATAAGTTAATTGAAATTATTAAAATTTTTATGTACTGTATATTCATATATAGAGTTTTATAAAATTTTTAAACATCAATTTTAAAAAATTACTATAAATATGTAAAAACATTAAATTAAATGATTGATTGTTAAACTAAAATTATACATGTTTTTATTTTATAGATTATAAATTAGTGTCCAAACGATACTATTGCAAAGTTATTATTAAGTATCAATGTTTATAATGTTATTATGTATAATATTTAAATCATTTTATGTAATACATAATATATATATAATAGATAATCATATAATAATCATATAATAACATATTGGTCGACATATTTCAATGACTCTAATTTGTTACCACTATTATCAATATCGTGAAAACCCAGATAACCAGTTATGTTGGTTAGATAACCGGTAGTAACTATAAAAAACAAAATAATAATAATAATGTTTATGTTAGTTAAAGCAATTTTCAGATACAGTAACTAATGATATTAATAATAATGATAACGATAATAATCTACACATAATATAAAATTGTCTATTAATATAAGAATAATTTAGATATTTAAAAAATATATTAGTTATATATATATATTAAAAATAATTTAAATTAAATTAAAATTAATTTGATTACTAACATAGCTTTAGAAACACTTCCGTTGCTTTGCGATAATCTTTGGATTTTGCAAAACCTTTAAAATTATTTTGAATATTTTGCATTTCTTTGTCTTCATTTTCATCTATTAATCCCAAATTCAATAGTGTCTTATCGTATGTCAGTTGATTGATTGGATCAGTCAAACCATTGCCAATGAGTATACCTTTGAAATTAACTCTAGAAATGTGTGACATTTTTATTAAGTAGTGACCAAATGATGGCACAAATTTTCCCGCATAAGACAATCCGCCTAAATATAAATCATTGCTCCGGTAGTCATCAAATACAGTGTAAAACTGTTGTAGAAACTCATATAAATTTTTGGAAACATTTTTCTGATCTGTAGAATAGCCATTGGGATTATCGGTATAACTAAATCCTGTTCCCACGGGATTATCCACATATATAATTGAAAACTCTTGATTCAATGCAAATGGATTTATTGTGACATTTAATTTATCATTTAAATTAAAAGATCCGAACATAAACATTGACATTATTGATGATCCTCCCGGTCCACCCTCGGTATATACTAATAACGGTGCAGTTTTGGGATTTTTCTTTATTAAATATAAAAAATAATTTAGGATTTAAAAAAACTTATTAAATACCAATAACTTAATATCGAAAATATAATAACTTTAAACAATTAATAACTTACAAAAGCGGGTATAAACCAGAAAAACGTATTACTATTGTATTTCTCGTCGACGGTTATAAACCCAGTATATGACTCAACATTGGTTGCATTGGGCAGTGCTGTCACCCGACTCAGTGATCGGGCCTTTGCTATGTCACCCGATTTGATATATGGTGTCAATAATAGCTGTTTTTCACAATATATTGTAGAAACATATATAGAAATTAGTAATAAGGTATAGATATTTGCTGAAATCATTTTATTTATAATTATCTGATAAAATAATATTATTTTATTATTTTTTTCAATTTACTTATACTATTAATTATTAAAAAGTATTTAAAAACTAAACTATCATTTTATTTTTATACTCTATTGATTATCATTATTTTTTATTAATTGTTGTAGCCATCATCAGTCAATCAAACATTTATATATATTTATTTATTGTATTAATCTTTAATCTATCAATTAATAACTTAAATAACTAGTTTTTTATGGCTACTTTTAAAAAAAAAATATTTATAAATAAAAGATTTAATAAAAATTTTTATACTACATTAACATAATCTAATTGCTAAATATTATAATTATTTTATACTGATGTTCAAGATAGTTTATTATAAGTAAATCTAATAGTAAATCATATATTGAAATATATTACAAATTAAATTTACAATTCAAGGATAATTCCCTAAATAATTGATTACTTTATAAGTGCTAAAAGTATTTGTCAAACTTTTTGCACTTATCAATAAAAAATTCCCCGATTTGTGATAGCATAGTATTAATATTTATTATTATTATTATTATTATTATTATTATTATTATTATTATTATTATTATTATTATTATTATTATTATTATTATTATTATTATTATTATTATTATTATTATTATTATTATTATTATTATTATTTTTGTATATCACGGTTGTTCCGGTGTGATCACAGTTGTGTCGGCCACTTTTGGTGGCAGAGACACGACTGGTTAGACTCAACTCAAGTCTAGTACTTTTCTGACTGTTCTACAACTCTGAAGTATCACTGCTTTTTGCATTTCATAGATCTTAGTTTTTCTGATTTCCAGTGATTCCAAACTTAAGGCCAGATTTTTCGGTATTACGGCCATTGATGACAGGATTATAGGTATGATTTCAACTTTCTTAATGCGCCACATCTTATTGATCTCATAGGCCAAGTCTGTATATTTTCGGCGTTTCTCACTATGCGTGTCCTGTAGTTTGTGTGTTAGTGGGACCGCTATGTCTATTATGTACGCCTTATCTTGATGTTTGTCTACTAGTACTATATCTGGGCGGTTGTGGGCCACAGTCTTATCTGTTCTTATTTCCTTATCCCAGTAGAGCTTGGCTCTGTTGCTTTCCATTACACTTTGTGGCTCGTATCTATAGTATGGTAATGGTTCTTTGATTAGTCCGAATCTTATTGCCAATTCCTGATGTATGATTTTGGCTACTTGGTTGTGACGGCTTAGGTACTCGGTGTTTGTGAGTACTTTACACCCATTTAGTATATGTTCTATTGTTTCTGACTCCATATGACACATCCTGCACTTGTCTGTTGGTATATTTAGCTTTTGGATGTATTTCTGATGGTTTCGTGTCGGAATCACTCGATCTTGTATTGCCATCATGAACCCCTCTGTCTCTCCATGAAGACCGGCGTACTTCAACCATTTTGTAGACATTTCTTCGTCTACGTGTGTTTGGTTGAGTTCTGCTCTGTATCTACCGTGGAGTTCTTTTGAGGCCCATGTGTTAATCCTCTCTTTTTCATTTTGTATTTCTATTTGATGTTCATTATTGCTGAGATTTAGAGGTGTGTAGTTGTTATCAAGTGTTGCTGTTATTTTGTGGAGCTCTGAGACATTGCATTTTTGTTGATGGTATTTTCTCAGCAATTCTCGCTGTTTGGCTTCAAGGCTTACAATGTTTAGTAACCCTCTACCCCCATGCTTTCTACTAACACACAGTCGTGCTACAGAACTTCTAGGGTGGTGTAGTCCAAACATTGTAAGTTGTCGCCTTATATGTCTTTCAATGGTCTCAAGTTCTGTTTTACTCCATTTTATTATTCCGAACGAGTATGTCAGTACAGGTATAGCCCAAGTGTTTATGGCTTTGAATTTGTTGTTTGAGTTTAGTTGAGATTTTAGTATTTTTATTATTCTTTGGTTTAATGTTTTCTTTATTTCTTCTTTAACTTCTGTCATTTTAGATTTATGCATTTGCTTAATTCCTAAGTACTTATATATATCTCCATTTTCTAGTGCCTTTATATATCCATTTTCAGTTTCGTATTGATTTCTTTCAGAATAGACTCCTCTTTTCAGTTTCATTATAGCACATTTATCTAATCCGAATTCCATATTTATATCATTGGAGAAAGTTTCTGTTGTTTTTAGCATTGCATTTAAATCAGATTCTTTTTCGGCATATAGTTTTAAGTCGTCCATATATAGTAGATGTGTTAGATTATATTTTGTATCACTTGATTTTAGATTTACGCCTTTTAGCTTTTTAAGTAATGATGACAGTGGGTTTATGGCTAAGCAGAACCACAGAGGACTGAGTGAATCTCCTTGAAATATTCCTCTATTTATTTTTATTTCTGTACTTATTTTTGTTCCATTATTTGTATTGACACACAATTTAGTATTCCATTTTTTCATCATATTTTCTAATGTGTTTATCAGTGTGTTGTCAATTTTATATAGTTTTAACACTCTTAATAACCATTTATGAGGGACTGAATCGAATGCTTTCTTATAGTCTATGTATGCCATTTCAAGATTTCTATGTTTTTGACGAGCTCTTATTGTTATGATATTGTCTATTGTTAATTGCTCTTTACAGCCCATAGAGTGTTTTATACAGCCTTTTTGTTCTTCAGCTATTATGTTGTTGTTGCTTAAATGATTATATATTTTTGTTGATATTATGGATGTTAAGATTTTATACATTGTTGTTAGGCAAGTGATGGGTCTATATTTACTGGGATCTGATGTATTTTCTGTTTTTGGGAGTAGATATGTTATTCCAGAAGTGAGGAAGTCATCGGTTTGTCCTGTTTGTATTATTTTATCCATTGCTATTGCCATTGGTTGATGTACTGTTGTAAAGTGTTTGTACCAGAAGTTTTGTATTTTGTCTTGTCCTGGGCTTTTCCAATTGTGGGATTTCTTGAGGGCTTCGGTTAAGTCATCTTTAATTATATTTACTGAAGTCATATGTGGTATTTCTTTATTTTCATCTTCAATATCATTTATCCAATTTGATTCTTTATATTCCTTTGGGTTACTCCAGATTTCTTTCCAGTAGTTTTCTATTTCATCTATTTGTGRTGTATTGTTAATATTGCTTGAATTTATTTTATTTTGATTTCTATAGAACATTTTTTCGTTATTATAGAACATTGTATTTTGTTTTCGTCTTTCGCTTTGTTGTTTATATCTTCTAATTCTTTGTGATAGTGCTTGAACTGTTTGTTTTAATGTGTCGTTGTAATTTCGGATTATGGATTCAAATTCAGGTTTTCCAGGTTTTGTCTGTAATGATCGGTATATATCTTTTAATGATTGGTTAAGTCTTTTTGATTTGTTTCCATTTAACACTTGCGTTATTCTTCCAATTACTTGTCTTTTCCCTTCTATCCGTGTCTCTATTCGCTTTTGCCATTTAGGTATTACATTTTCTTGATTTGGTTTTGCTGTTGACATGTGWTCTATTTTATAGCCTAAGAGTCTCGATACTGCTACTGCTGCACAATACGTTATTGTATTAATTGCGCTCAACGACATTTTTTCTTCGATGTAATCTTTAAGTATATCATTTATCGTTATTATAGTAGATCTTGTTTTAATGCCACTTCTTATTTTTGGTAATTTAGGTCTGAATTCTATTTCAAAGTCTTTATATTGTTCTAAAGATGTTTTTAGTTCATTTTCTGCTGTTATTCTGTTTATTTCATCATTTGTATTGTTTATGTTATCTGTTGTTGTAGGTGTCTCTTCTATTTCTGGCACTACTTCTACTGTAATATTTAATTCAGTTGTTTCATTTAATGATAGTTCATGTGCCACTTGTTGTTTGATTTCTTGTAATTCAATCGGGGATATTTTATTATTCTTTGCTAAGAATCGCCGTTGGTCTGCAATTCTTTGTTCCGTTACATTTAGTTCTGGATATTTTTGTTTGAATGCTAAGTATATTTGGTTTCTGTAATCAGTCATATTTGTTTCGAGTCGAGTTGATCTGTAGTATTCGCGCATTATCAAGGTATTCATCTCATGTGTCCATCTCATGCGCTTTTGCGATTTGTCAACCAAATTGGTCAGTTGTTGCTGAGAACCAGCTTGAACTGAAACATTTTGGAGGTTAGTCTGATTTTGTTGACTAGTCTGCGGTCGCATTACATCACAGCTTTGCCCGCATAGCACATCACTGCGTGGGATATGATGCATACTTAACGAACTGCAGTCAATGCCTACCTGCTGAACGCGGGATTTATTTGAGAGGGTACCTCCCGAACACCCCCCGTTATTCCTACGACTACGTGTAATCATATTTATATATTTTTGTGGCCTTTTTACGGGGTCCCGGTCCCTAGAGAAAGCTCAACACTAACATGTGTCTATTGCCACCCATTTCTCACCACTAACATGTGTTTGTTGAAATAGGATTTTTATTTTTTTGAAACAAAAGTGGCCATTGCGTGTGAGGACGAGTAACTACTCGAAGGGTGAAGGGACATCCTTGCGGACGTCCCTTCGGGGTGGGGGCACCTTTTTACAGGCACCCCCGGGTGGGAGCACCCTTGCGGGTACCCCCAGGTGGGCACCGATACCGAAGTACCGATACCCGGGTCGGGCAGAAACTCGTCCTCACTTAGCACCCCGCTTTCCCCATACTACTTAAGTTGGCCGTCCTAAACAGCGTTGGTTGGGCAGGGACGGGAAGCACAGTTAAAACAATTTTTTTTTCTCAGAAAAATTGCTTTACCACATCGGGGCTCGAACTCATCGGGCTCGAACTATAGATCTTACTCTCCATTACACTACATAGCCCTACACACTAACCACTACACCACTGTGCCTCCTTTTTTATTATTATTATTATTATTATTATTATTATTATTATTATTATTATTATTATTATTATTATTATTATTATTATTATTATTATTATTATTATTATTATTATTATTATTATTATTATTATTATTATTATTATTATTATTATTATTATTATTATTTTTGTATATCACGGTTGTTCCGGTGTGATCACAGTTGTGTCGGCCACTTTTGGTGGCAGAGACACGACTGGTTAGACTCAACTCAAGTCTAGTACTTTTCTTACTGTTCTACAACTCTGAAGTATCACTGCTTTTTGCATTTCATAGATCTTAGTTTTTCTGATTTCCAGTGATTCCAAACTTAGGGCCAGATTTTTCGGTATTACGGCCATTGATGACAGGATTATAGGTATGATTTCAACTTTCTTAATGCGCCACATCTTATTGATCTCATAGGCCAAGTCTGTATATTTTCGGCGTTTCTCACTATGCGTGTCCTGTAGTTTGTGTGTTAGTGGGACCGCTATGTCTATTATGTACGCCTTATCTTGATGTTTGTCTACTAGTACTATATCTGGGCGGTTGTGGGCCACAGTCTTATCTGTTCTTATTTCTTTATCCCAGTAGAGCTTGGCTCTGTTGCTTTCCATTACACTTTGTGGCTCGTATCTATAGTATGGTAATGGTTCTTTGATTAGTCCGAATCTTATTGCCAATTCCTGATGTATGATTTTGGCTACTTGGTTGTGACGGCTTAGGTACTCGGTGTTTGTGAGTACTTTACACCCATTTAGTATATGTTCTATTGTTTCGGACTCCATATGACACATCCTGCACTTGTCTGTTGGTATATTTAGCTTTTGGATGTATTTCTGATGGTTTCGTGTCGGAATCACTCGATCTTGTATTGCCATCATGAACTCTGTCTCTCCATGAAGACCGGCGTACTTCAACCATTTTGTAGACATTTCTTCGTCTACGTGTGTTTGGTTGAGTTCTGCCCGGTATCTTCCGTGAAGTTCTTTTGAGGCCCATGTGTTAATCCTCTCTTTTTCATTTTGTATTTCTATTTGATGTTCATTATTGCTGAGATTTAGAGGTGTGTAGTTGTAATCGAGTGTTGATGTTATTTTGTGGAGCTCTGAGACATTGCATTTTTGTTGATGGTATTTTCTCAGCAATTCTCGCTGTTTGGCTTCAAGGCTTACAATGTTTAGTAACCCTCTACCCCCATGTTTTCTACTAACACATAGTCGTGCTACAGAACTTCTAGGGTGGTGTAGTCCAAACATTGTAAGTTGTCGCCTTATATGTCTTTCAATTGTCTCAAGTTCTGTTTTACTCCATTTTATTATTCCGAACGAGTATGTCAGTACAGGTATAGCCCAAGTGTTTATTGCTTTGAATTTGTTGTTTGAGTTTAGTTGAGATTTTAGTATTTTTATTATTCTTTGGTTTAATGTTTTCTTTATTTCTTCTTTAACTTCTGTCATTTTAGATTTATGCATTTGCTTAATTCCTAAGTACTTATATATATCTCCATTTTCTAGTGCCTTTATATATCCATTTTCAGTTTCGTATTGATTTCTTTCAGAATAGACTCCTCTTTTCAGTTTCATTATAGCACATTTATCTAATCCAAATTCCATATTTATATCATTGGAGAAAGTTTCTGTTGTTTTTAACATTGCATTTAAATCAGATTCTTTTTCGGCGTATAGTTTTAAGTCGTCCATATATAGTAGATGTGTTAGATTATATTTTGTATCACTTGATTTTAGATTTACGCCTTTTAGCTTTTTAAGTAGTGATGACAGTGGGTTTATGGCTAAGCAGAACCACAGAGGACTGAGTGAATCTCCTTGAAATATTCCTCTATTTATTTTGATTTCTGTACTTATTTTTGTTCCATTATTTGTATTGACACACAATTTAGTTTTCCATTTTTTCATCATATTTTCTAATGTGTTTATCAGTGTGTTGTCAATTTTATATAGTTTTAACACTCTTAATAACCATTTATGTGGGACTGAATCGAATGCTTTCTTATAGTCTATGTATGCCATTTCAAGATTTCTATGTTTTTGACGAGCTCTTATTGTTATAATATTGTCTATTGTTAATTGCTCTTTACAGCCCATTGAGTGTTTTATACAGCCTTTTTGTTCTTCAGCTATTATGTTGTTGTTACTTAAATGATTATATATTTTTGTTGATATTATGGATGTTAGGATTTTATACATTGTTGTTAGGCAAGTGATGGGTCTATATTTGCTGGGATCTGATGTATTTTCTGTTTTTGGGAGTAGATATGTTATTCCGGAAGTGAGGAAGTCATCGGTTTGTCCTGTTTTTATTATTTTATCCATTGCTATTGCCATTGGTTGATGTACTGTTGTAAAGTGTTTGTACCAGAAGTTTTGTATTTTGTCTTGTCCTGGGCTTTTCCAATTGTGGGATTTCTTGAGGGCTTCGGTTAAGTCATCTTTAATTATATTTACTGAAGTCATAGGTGGTATTTCTTTATTTTCATCTTCAATATCATTTATCCAATTAGATTCTTTATATTCCTTTGGGTTGCTCCAGATTTCTTTCCAGTAATTTTCTATTTCATCTATTTGTGGTGTATTGTTAATATTGCTTGAATTTATTTTATTTTGATTTCTATAGAACATTTTTTCGTTATTATAGAACATTGTATTTTGTTTTCGTCTTTCGCTTTGTTGTTTATATCTTCTAATTCTTTGTGATAGTGCTTGAACTGTTTGTTTTAATGTGTCGTTGTAATTTCGGATTATGGATTCAAATTCAGGTTTTCCAGGTTTTGTCTGTAATGATCGGTATATATCTTTTAATGATTGGTTAAGTCTTTTTGATTTGTTTCCATTTAACACTTGCGTTATTCTTCCTATTACTTGTCTTTTCCCTTCTATACGTGTCTCTATTCGCTTTTGCCATTTAGGTATTATATTTTCTTGATTTAGTTTTGTAGTTGACATGTGTTGTATTTTGTAGCCTAAGAGTCTCGATACTGCTACTGCTGCACAGTATGTTATTGTATTAATTGTGCTCAACGACATGTTATCTTCGATGTAATCTTTAAGTATATCATTAATTGTTATTATTGTAGATCTTGTTTTTACGCCACTTTTTATTTTTGGTAACTTAGGTCTGAGTTCTATTTCAAAGTCTTTATATTGTTCTAAAGAAGTTTTTAGTTCATTTTCTGCTGTTATTCTCTTTATTTCATCATTTGTATTGATTCTGTTATCTGTTGTTGTAGGTGTCTCTTCCATTTCTGGCACTACTTCTACTGTGGTATTTAATTCAGTTGTTTCATTTAATGATAGTTCATGTGCCACTTGCTGTTTGATTTCTTGTAATTCTATTGGGGATATTTTATTATTCTTTGCTAAGAATCGCCGCTGGTCTGCAATCCTTTGTTCCGTTACATTTAGTTCTGGATATTTCTGTTTGAATGCTAAGTAAATTTGGTTTCTGTAATCAGTCATATTTGTTTCGAGTCGAGTTGATCTGTAGTATTCGCGCATTATCAAGGTATTCATCTCATGTGTCCATTTCATGCGCTTTTGCGATTTTTCAACCAAATTGGTCAGTTGTCGCTGAGAACCAGCTTGAACTGAAACATTTTGGAGGTTAGTCTGATTTTGTTGACTAGTCTGCGGTCGCATTACATCACAGCTTTGCCCGCATAGCACATCACTGCGTGGGATATGATGCATACTTAACGAACTGCAGTCAATGCCTACCTGCTGAACGCGGGATTTATTTGAGAGGGTACCTCCCGAACACCCCCCGTTATTCCTTCGACTACGTGTAATCATAATTATATATATATTTGTTTTTGGCCTTTTTACGGGGTCCCAGTCCCTAGAATAAGCTCAACACTAACATGTGTCTATTGCTTATTATGTAAAAAATACATAAATTTGTATATTGTTATAATTTTAATAATTAATTATTTTATATTATAAATTAGAAGTTAGTGTTCAAACGGCAGAGATTTAACAAATCTAATGGCCATATCCTGTGTAGCCCTGGGCTGGTCTGCCAGTGAAACGTGACCGGCATTACGTACGATAACGTGAGTAAAATTACCGAAACTTTTTGCATAACCGGCTATTTGTGTATCGTTTGTATTGACTCTCCAAATGTTTCGTTTGGCTTTATTGTAATCGTTATAATATTTCCAATCTATTTAAATACAATAATTGTTGTTAATTTAAAAAATAGTATAATTAGTTTTTTTTGTTTGTTTAATAACAAACTATAATTACTTTGATTCATTAGTAATCCATTGGTAGACTCGACGCCAACAATAATATCAAAATTACCGGTAAATAACAATACTTTGTATCCGTTGTCTATGATTGCCGTCAAATTTGGTTCAGCCGATCGGCTAATATCTTCAAACATATACTCTAAAACTACAGGACTCGACATATTATAGACAACATTACCGACATRTATAGCACTGCGAACCGACGGTTGGGCCAAATATTGGTCAATATATACYGTAGACGCAAATAAATTACCCGAATCTTCAATATTGTATAACATTTGATAATTGGTTGCATTGGTTAGATAACTGGGATTTCTTGCTGATATCACTAAAAAAATAAATAAATAAAATTAAATATTGATTACTGTATTATTTTTTAATAAAATTTTTTCATATGTTTTATTTATAAATAATCTAAAATGAAAATAATATTTTAATTTCTAAATTTGAATAAATAGTATTGACATAAAAAATAAATGAAATTTCATTATATATATATACCTAACTCTTCAAATATTTCCGATGCTTTGCGATAAGCCTTTAATTTTATTAATGTTTTTAAATTTTGTTGCAATCGTTGAACTTCTTTGGCCTCATTTTYATCGATTAATCCTAAACTCAACAGTGTTTGATCATATGCTGCCTGAGTGTTGGGATCAGTCATACCGTTGCCAACGAGTATGCCTTTGAAATTGAGTTTAGAAATTTCAGACATTTGTATTAAGTAGTGACCAAATGATGGCACATATTTTCCCGCATAAGACATTCCACCTAAATATAAATCATTGCTCCGGTAGTCATCAAATACAGTGTAAAATTGTTGTAGAAATTCATATAAATTTTTAGCAATAGTCAACTGATCTGTTGAATAGCCATCGGGATTATCTGTATAACTAAATCCTGTTCCCACGGGATTATCCACATATATAATCGAAAAMTCTTGATTCAATGCAAATGGATTTATTGTGACATTTAATTTATCATTTATATTAAATGATCCGAACATAAACATTGACATTATTGATGAKGTACCCGGTCCACCCTCGGTATATACCAATACCGGTGCAGTTTTGGGATTTTTCTTTATTTTTTTTAAATATATAAATTATATGATAATTATTATTAGATATCTAATAGCTTGTAATAACTTACAAAAGCGGGTATAAACCAGAAAAACGTATTACTATTGTATTTCTCGTCGACGGTTATAAACCCAGTATATGACTMAACATTGGKTGCATTGGGCAGTGCTGTCACCCGACTCAGTGATCGGGCCTTTGCTATGTCACCCGATTTRATATATGGTGTCAATTGTAAATGTTTTTCACAATATAGTTTGGAAACATATATAGAAAATAGTAATACGGTATAAATTTTTGCTAAAATCATTTTAATTTCTAGTAATWTAATAAGTTTCAWCAGTTTAATTGAACTTAATTAAAAAAAATATTTATTTTATAATAAATTATATATTTTATATTTACTTGAATTTTATTTTATACTCTATTGTTTCATATTATTAGATATTAAATAGAGTAGAGTTTATATTTAATTAYGATAAGATAATTGTATATTTATGTATATAATGTACTCAATCATCAATGTATTAATTAATTAATYTAATTATGTTTTATATATTTAATTTTAATCATTATTACCTAATAATTTGTTTATATTGTTATTTAAAAAAAAATATTATTTTTATTATAAATAATTTTTGAAATTGAAAATTTTAATGATTATTTTAAAAATAATTTTTTTATTACAATTATATTTATGTTATAATTTTTTTTATTGCATATAAAAAAATAAGATAAGGACTTTAATTGTATCAATATTTTGAAATATATTGCTATTTTTTGATAATAATAATAATACTCAAATAATTAATAACTTATTATTAATAATACTGTATTGTTTTTTATTTTATAGATATTGTCTATTGCATATTAATAGTTGTAATAAATTTTATATTTTATCCAAACGTTTATATTATATATATATATATTGATAAAYGTAAATATATTTTTTAAAATAACAGTTAGTTATATAATCAGTAATTTTTACAAATAGTTTGTAGTAGTTGTTGATGTTTTATCAATAACTTAAATATTTTAAACACCAATTTTTTTGTGAATATATTGATCAAAATAAAATTTTTAAAAAATAAATTCTATTWATTTCAATTATCTAACTAAATATACATTTTTAATTTTAAAAAAATTAATTTTGATTACAGTGTTATTTATTATRATTTTRTCTATAATTAGAGAGAGAGAGAGAGARAGARAGARAGAGAGAGAGAGAGAGAGAGAGAGAGAGAGAGAGAGAGAGAGAGAGAGAGAGAGAGAGAGAGAGAGAGAGAGAGAGAGAGAGAGAGAGAGAGAGAGAGAGAGAGAGAGAGAGAGAGAGTTAATAAAAGTTTTATAAAACAAAACAAAATAAAATTAATATATAATTTTAAAATTGACGCCAAATATGCTGATATGTGTTAGTATGACAACCAATACATTATACAGTATTATAATATTATGTTTGCATTGTATTTGTATTACAATAATATAATACAACAACTGTTTGTATTTAAAGCAATGAATTGCAAGTTTTGACCAAAAAATATAAATTATTGAAAAGTTTTTATCCGAAGACACATCACATCCCAAACCCATTAAGACATCACCCGATAGATACAGACAGACAACAACAAAATGACGGTAAATATCATATCATCTGATGGTTTATCACAACAACAACTGATCTCTTGATTTGTTTTTGAATAAATAAAAAATTTTAGACCAAATCATCGAAAGCCGGTAACTCTACCGATAGATCGCCAATTCATTGGGCGGCCAGCGATGGTAACAAAGAATTGGTCCGCAAACTGATTGCCGACGGCGCCGATATTGATGCTACCGATGAGGTGACCAATAATTATTACCGTCTAATWGAATCTTTTTTTAAAAATTACCGATTTTTATGTGTTTTATCGGACACACACACACACAGATGGGTTGGACACCGTTGATGATTGCCTGTTCCGCCGGTCACTACGATATTGTCCAGACACTGGTCGAACATAAAGCCGATATCAATGCTGTCAACAGTACCGGCCAGTCGGCCCTACATTACGCCGCCTCTAAGGACCGATTGGATATCGCAAAGTATTTGATTGACAGCGGATGTCATATCAATCTAAGAGATAAACTCAATCAGGTATTCATTTTCAGACACAGAATAGTCATTGCCATCAAATAGTAAACCATTGTTTTGTTTTGTTTAGTCATTTGATTTAATTTCTTATTTGTTTTATTTATTTTTTTCTGTTGTTTAAATTAGACACCACTTCATAGGTTTGTTTGTTTGTTTGTGATCTTTATTATCCAGATTTRTRTATATTATATGAAGATATTAGATATTAATAGCCAAATCTGCTGTGAATTTTTTTTTTCAATAGATCCGCTTCAAGAGGTTTTCATAAGATTGTCGATCTTCTGTTAGGTCATCGGGACATCCAATTGAATCCGCAGGACGTTGTCGGCAATACACCGCTGTAAGTGTCTAATCGTATCTTAATCTAAGACACACTTACTTTTAATTGTTATTATTATTCAATTGATTTATAATAAATATACCGAAACTCTTAATATCGGTATAAAAAAGACATCTGTCCTGTGAAGAGGAGCGCATAGAAGTGGCCAAAACATTGATAAAAATCGGTGCTTTGACTGACATCCAGAATAAGGTATAGATTTTTTTTTGATTTGATTTTAATATATTTGATAACAAAAAAAACTAATTGTATGTTAAATGTCTGTTAAAAACAAAAACAGGAAAAAAAGTTTGCTTTCGATCTCTGTATTAACGATTCAGTGAAGCGATCGCTCATTAATTATGCTAAAGAATGTCAACAAACTTCAAAAACTTCTTAACTCTCTCTCTCTCTCTCTCTCTCTCTCTCTCTCTCTCTCTCTCTCTCTCTCTCTCTCTCTTATCGATCACTCATCGGTTCCAAACAATTAACTCTGAAAGCAATTTGAATGTTAATTAACTGTTTTTTATTTTATTTAAAAAACATTAAATATATTTTTTAATTTATTTATATATCATTATATGATTTATATATAAATAAATTATAATTTTATGAAAATTGTTTGTAATGCGAGTGTTTTTTTTCTTTAAAAAATATTTATTTTTTATATAAATACCTTTACTTTTTTTTGCAATAATAATTATATTTGTGTGTAAATTATCATCGATATTACCGGTACCCTTAACTATCATTATCAACATTATTATTATTATTTTGTTTAAATAAAAACAAAAATGATTTTTCAAGTTTAAAAACTAATAATCATAGGTAATAGCATTTATTATTTTATTTTTTTTATTATTATATTTTATTAAATCGTGTATAGATAGGGAATTCAAAATATAATCGATTAAACCATTACTATATTAATGTAATTATTAAACAATMTCTCTCTCTCTCTCTCTCTCTCTCTCTCTCTCTCTCTCTCTCTCTCTCTCTCTCTCTCTCTCTCTCTCTCTCTCTCTCTCTCTCTCTCTCTCTCTCTCTCTCTCTCTCTCTCTCTCTCTCTCTCTCTCTCTCTCTCTCTCTCTCTCTCTCTCTCTCTCTCTCTCTCTCTCTCTCTCTCTCTCTCTCTCTCTCTCTCTCTCTCTCTCTCTCTCTCTCTCTCTCTCTCTCTCTCTCTCTCTCTCTCTCTCTCTCTCTCTCTGATAGAATTCATGACATTTAATTTGATTGAATATTTTTCATACTTTAATTGACAATAACTTTATTTATTATTATTTAATAATAAAAAATAATACAACAAATCATTAGTCAAAAAATTTTATATTTTACACAATATATATTCATATATCCCACAAATTATAATAAACAATCTTTTAATAATAATAATAATAATAAAAATTATTACTAAATTTATTATTACATACAATTACAATATAATGATAATAATAAATAAAAAAATTTATAAAAAAAAGATTTAAAAAATAACACAAAAAACAACAACATATTCACAATATATATATATATAATAATTATATAATCAAAGCGTGAGTCTATATATTTTTTTTATATAATAAAATAAAAATAATAATGTATTAAAAAAAATATAATAATAAAAAACACTGAATTAATGACTGATTATTAAAAAATATTATTATTATTATTATTATATTAGTTATTATTATCGGCGTTTGGCTGCGGTTTGCCTTTCAAAGAGGAGGTCCGGCGTCTCTCTTGTCTGGACTCGTATTTTGAGATTTTTTGTTTGGCGAGTTTCAAGAGCTGTTCCGATGTGAACAGCTTTTGGGTTAAATCATTGATCCGGTCTTTCATTAGATTCAGATCCGATTCGTGACTTCTTTCCATTTCAATGACTTTTTTCGTTAGCCTTTCGTAGGCGATCTCCAAGAAATCATAGTTACTTTGAGCCTCTTTTAGYTCAGCRTTCAATAGTCTGATTGTCTGAAGATCTTTGTTTAGTTGTCTAATCGTTTGATTAGCTGATGATTGACTACCATTTGTTGGTGTTGTTTCACTACTACTACTACAAGTACTACTACTACCACTACTACTACTAATAATATTATTTTGATTAATAATATGATTAATATGATTATTGTGATTATTATAGTTGATATGATTACTACTACCATTACAACTAATATTATTAGTCTTATTGTTAATAGCAGTAGTAGTAGTATTATTATTAAAATTATTATTTAAATTACAATTATTATTGACAATCAATTTCTTATCATTGTTGACTACCGCAAGACTACTACCATTAGATAGGCTACCATTACTTAGACAATGATTATGATTATTATGATTATTATTATTAAGATTATCGCTAATTGAGATAATCTTAATCTTGCCGTCGATACCATTCTCATAGCTTTTTGACTTAACAATATTATTATCGTTTAGTTGATCCTTGTTTTTGATAGTCTTTCTCAATTGAATCAGCTCCTGRCGACAGCAGACCAGCTCATGGGTTAACTGTGAGGCCTGTTCGCTGATATCTTGTAGTTCAGCTATAGATGCCTTCAATTTATTGACATCGGTTAGGGAGGCGTTGCGCCGGTTTTTATCCAATTTCAAGTCGTTTGACTCCAATTTACAGGTGTTTATCCATTCAATGGTCTATAAAACAAATGGTTGACAGATAGAGAGGAAAAAATATATATTTTTATTTTATATACTGTATATATATATATTTTTAAACGAAAAAATCAAACATATATATATGATATATATAATCAAGGAGTGAAAATATGAGTAAATTCAGTGAAGCATTTATATACGATAGATATATACAATAGATTTATATATATATATAATATGATATATCGTTAAAACCATAATAACTTATACAGTAGTTTACAATAGTATTATACAGTATATATAGAAAAAAATAATAGCATTAGAAAAGCCAATCATTAGTATTATAGTAGTAAAGAATAATAGTTTATTTAAAATAAAAACTCAATAAAACAAAAAAAACTAAAATACATTTATAAGTACTGTAAGTGTTGTTGTTGTTGTGTAACACCTATTATAAGCCAAATATATCATTAGTTATGCAAAGAGATATCCATAATATACTGTATATTATTATTATTATTGGTATATCAGATGATATATTGGAAATAACAAMAAAAAAAACTACTAATAATAGTTGTCTTCACTAACAACAGACATATCTAAAACAAATGTGTATTTCTTGTAAAATACTAAACATTATTATTATTATTATTATTATTATAACTAAAGACTCACAAGAAGTGAATATAAATTAGCAAAAGAAGAATAAGAAGTTGAAGAATATAAATAATAAGAAGAAGTTTAGTATAAAAAAAATTGTATCAAAAAATATAAGTCATATTAATTGCTTCTTCAGGTTTGACGACCTCTTTGTCTATACTATACTATCATATATATTAAAGTACTGTAKATTTTTCGRCTTTTATTTAATATATATATATATATTATATGATATTTAACATAACATAACATTTAGTATCAATATTTGTACAAATGTTTTAATGTTTTTTTTAATAATATAAAAAATAGGCGTATCTCTCAAATTGACTTCAATTTGTATTATTATTATTATTATTATATAATATCTGTATAATAAAAAAATAATATAATAGGACTAAAGCTATTATAAYGACAAGAAAAAATAAAATATTTTTAATACAATATACTGTAATATCATTAAAATATTAAACTGAAAAAAACATATTATGATGACATTTGATGGTAAAGCAATTGTATATACTGTACAATATATATATACTGTACTTGTATTAGTACTAAATGTCTAAATTATATATAAGTTTATCATCATATATGGTATGATAGGTTACAAAAATAGACATAACATATACAACTTGTATATATTAAATAATACAACTATTGGGGGGGCGGGGGTAGTCATTAGAAATATACTGTATATCTATATTTATATATACAGTATAATATATATATCTAACTTACAAATTGTCTATTTTTATATTATTTATTTATTTATTGAAAAAAAATAAAATATTTTTGTCGTCAGTAAAGTTGGAGTCAAAAACAGTAATAAATCAATTTTGGATATAATTTTCCACAAAAAAAAATTTTTTTGGTGTATTTTTTCTCCAAATAGTTTTATTTAATGTAAATGTAAAATATTTATTTGAGCCCCTAAACAACAACAACAACTCCCCATCAACTCAACTAACCAGGTTTATTGACTGATCAATAAAATAAAATAACAACAAACAAACAAAAAAACCTGGAAATGGATGTCAAACTGACTATCAGGTATATCATACCAACCATACCCTTATATATATACCCCTAATATAATGGCTTTTACATACAAATGGACAGACAGCTAGAGCTAGATATCAATAATTTAAATCACTGTTCAAACTTTACACACACACTGTGTGTGTGTGTGTGTGTGTGTGTGTGTGTGCACCGGTATATTCACACAATAATAATAATTTTTTTAAAAATTATATAACTTTTTTTTTATTAATAACTAAAAAAAAGTTATATACAGTATTAGCATTTGATGAAAGATATGTATTGTGTGTTTGTGTCTTTAAAAAAATTTGTTTTTATTTTTTGAAATTATTATTTATTTATTTTTTTCATTTTGAAAAGTAGTACTGAATTTTTTTTTCATCGGAACAACTTTGTCACGAAAAATCATAGTTTAAATAAATTGAATGAAAGGAGTGGGGGTATGGTATGACATGACATACCGGTGCGCTCCTCATGTCTATATGTCTATATATATTATATTTATGAGTACAGGGATAACATGTGAACACAACATATATATAAATTTATAAGTAGTTTTGCATGTATTGAGTCTATAGTACAGTAAAATGAAAACACTTCCTAATACTCCCTTAAGAATTGGATGTAAAAATCAATTGATATGAATGTATGAATGAATGAATGAAATAAAGAGAGAGAGAGAGAGAGAGAGAGAGAGAGAGAGAGAGAGAGAGAGAGAGAGARAGAGAGAGAGAGATCCCATAAATACAATATAATATATAACCTGTTTTTTTAGTTACATTTGTTATGCTATGCGTTAAACTGCAAACAGAGTCCAAATTATTTTTATATATAAAAAGATTTTCATAAATATTTCGGTTTGCAGTTTACACTTAAATAGTATTAACTATTATTTTATTATATACTGTATATACCTTTGATGTACAGGTATTATGTGATCTCAATAGTGTTAAACATTAATAGTTACACCGCTTATATATATACTGTATACAGTATAACCTGACAAACAAATCGCAGGTATTATTTTTTTCTGATGGCTTTTCAATAGGCATTTAATATAGTATTAATACAGTATATAAACTATTAAATATCTACTAAAAAAATTATGTGCTATAATAAAATACAACACACTGTAT